TCCAGTGCGTCGACGGAAGGGTGTTTCCGGGCATCGTGGCCTGCTTGGCGCCGGCCTGCTGGAAGCCGACATCGTTCGACGTCAGTTTCGGCGCGCCGCCGCCTTCGCGGACCACAGACACGCCGTTGGCGGCGTGCTGGGCCTTGACGCCATACTTGGTCCCGTTGTCGTCGGTCTGGGTCGAGATCGACTCGAAGGTATTGCCGTTCCAGACCTCCTGGCCGCGATGCATGTAGCGGTACATCGTGAGGCCAAGCGCCTTGACCGAGAAGTCGATCGAGGTCGTGACGGTGCGCTTGTCGCCGTTCTGCTGGAAGGTGAGCGTGTGGGTGCCGATACGCTCGCCGTTCCGGAAAGCGGCGAAAACGTGGCTGGGACCGTAGGGAAAATCCGCCGTGGCCTGGGCCGCGGCGGTACCGCAGCCCATCAGCATGACTGCGAGGATCAGACGACGCTTCATCGGTGCCTCCTGGTCCTCTTATACGTACGAAGCAGCGGTCGGATCCCTCTCAGACAACCCGATCGGCCTTGAGCTGGGCGATAACGGCCGCATCGTAGCCCAGTTCCTGCAATATCTGTTCCGTGTGCTCGCCGAGCTGGGGCGCCCGGCGGCGGATGGTGAGGGGCGTGCGGGAGAGCTTCACCGGCTCCTGCAGCACCGGCACCGGTATCTTGGCACCCGGATACTCCATCGAGTGGAAGAACTTCGCCTCCTGGACGTGCTTGTCGTCCAGCGCCTGCTGCGGCGTGTAGACCGGGCCGGCGGGGATGCGGTTGGCCTCCAGCGCGGCCAGCGCCTCGGCGACGGTGCGGGTGTCGCACCACTTCTGCATGATGGCCGACAGGGCCTCGCCGTTGTCGCCGCGCGCGAGGTCGTCCTTGAAGCGAGGATCGGCCGCCAGCGTGTCGTCGCCCATCAGCTTGCACCAGCGCACGAACAGCGGCTGGCCGATGGTCATGGCGTAGATCCAGCCGTCCTTGCACTTGAAGGTGTCGGAGGGGCCGGCGGTGAAGCCGCGGTTGAGCGTGGCCACGCGGTTGAGATTGAGCATGGCCTGCTCGATCAGGTGGCTGTTGGTGATGTTGATGGCGGTGCGCAGCAGCGCGGTTTCGACCTTCTGCCCCTTGCCGCTCTTGGCGCGATCCATGAG